ATTTAATTTATTTTTATTTTTTATTTTTTGTTTTAAAGGTAACATGGGGGCTGTATTTTTAATGGCATATTTTCAATGCTGCAATCACATATTCTCAATGCTTAATTAACTCAAATATGAACATCACAGTCGTGAATATAACTTTAGGTTTGACTTTTTGGTGCATTTTACATTGTTCAGGATCCTGTTTGTGGAAGTGCACATTGTGCTTTGGTGCACTACTGGAGCAAAAAGCTTGGAAAATGTGATTTTGTAGCATATCAGGTTCCTCTCTCTCTCTCTCTCTCTCTCTGAGTCACAATTTCATAACGTCTAGTCTTGACCACGCTAATTTTGTGTATGAATTAGGCATCACCAAGAAGTGGCGTGCTAAATCTGCATCTTGATGAGAAGAATCAGAGAGTTTTACTTCGAGGAAAGGCCAACATGGTGATGGAAGGTTCTGTCCTGGTTTGAACGAGAAGTTGTACTTCAATATTGAATAATTGATTCAAAATGCATGACATTGTCAATTAAGTTGTCGCCTCTAGTGACTTCCGAATAAAGATTTTAGGCGTTTCCTCGTACAGTACATTGTAAAATTTACATTTTACTCACGTTATATATTATATGCTGAAATTCTATAGTTTGTCCTACTTATACTGATGTCACTGATGTCTTCAATCGGATTGTAAATCTCAGATAAGGCTTGTATGTTGTTATTTTATTGGATATTGTAGTGTAGTTATTGGAGGTGAACGGTGACACTTGTCGCTATACTCCATGTCCAAGGGAATGGGATGGCTCATAAGTTTGCCTTTTTAGTTACTATAGGTATTAGTGATTGAGTGTGGTCTATTTTTATTCCGTTTTTTATATCGTCTGCCGTTCGCGGCGATATAACTTTATAATGTTTGTTTTGAATTTCAAAAAGAAAAAATATATGTCGAAAAACTTAAATGGTCATGCTTGCTTCTATATTTAATTGAGGCACGTACTATATTACTTACGAGTGAAAAGTGTTACGTGTTGACACACTTGACCGACCACTTATGCGAACCACGTGACATCTTTGCCTAGGCCCCCCAATCAACAAAAATAGACCAGCGTGCTTAAACAACACCCATGACGTGACCCAAATGCTGACGTCGAAGTGAATATGCTGAGGTGGCCCTTCACTCCGTGGCCCATCATACAGAGGTCCTGAGGCCCTAAGCAGCACTCTCCCCAGAGATCTGATCTTACACAAGATCCTTCCTGATTGATTAATGGGACACCCATCATAGAGTGCAAGTATCTTGTCTTGTTAATGTAGCGGTAGAGCCATCGATTAATAAATGTGTAACAGGTTAGGAAGTCAAGTATGATACCTATAATTTGACATGTAAACTTATGGGATGAGGTCACGTGTACTCCCAATCAAGGGTCACGATCTAACTTGTAATACTACAAATACCCTCATGCATCTCTCACGAGGACGATGCAAGATTCAACACAAGAATAAATACAACATTTTTTACATTTTACTCTCTTGCAACATACACGAATTCATATACGCATTCTAAAAATATCGATTGGTAATCATTGTACAATCGTTATGCAAACATCACACCGGAACATTCTCGTCCAGCGCTTTTGAGTCGCTCCCACGTCCTTGATCTATCCATTTGAGACCGTCCACATGTCCTAACGTGTTGAACTAGGCTCACGTGTGCGCGAGTGGGTTTGGTATATGTTGACAACATTTTTGGGGTCAACAGATTGACGCCGTCTGTGGAAAATTATACCATAACCACGAGTAACCGCATGGAAAAGCTTACCAAAAGAAGAACATTCGGGTATCACCCTTGAAAAAGAATTTGTTCTTGGAAAAAAACAAGCGGAAGACCCATAACTTGCAGCAATTCGAAGTTGAAACACGAAGGAATGAGTTCGGACAAAAATATACCCCCTAGGAGGGTAAGGGAAAATGTGGGAATGTCTCCACCAGCAGCTGCCCCTGCGGCTCGGCATCGACCTCATCACCACCACGGAAGAGGTGGCATGCGAATGGTCGTTCAGTTATCAAGAGAGATGGCCACCATGGCCGTAAACATGAGGGATATTGCTAGCTAGAACATGGTCATGAGGGAGCTCATGACCCAAATGCAGAGCCAGGGAAGCTTTCCTATTCCTCCATATGCACCCCAAGGACCTTACAAAAATGAGGAAGTCCAAAGTCAAAGAGCTGTATCACCGGAATACAGCCGAGGCAGAAGCCCTATGTAGAGGGAAGTAGAAGTTGATGCTTCCTCCAATTATGCTACAGGCCAACCCACCGAGGCCCGGTATAACCAAGACAACTTTCCACCAGCATATGAGCCAAAGTTAAGACTTAGGAGGTCTAACAGCGTATTTGACAGAATTAGCCCCGAGGAACCGAGGTGCAGGCCACAGCCACACTAGCCACAGAATAGGCCACAGCCCTACCTCTAATGACTCATCAGCCGGAGGAAAGGCATGAAAATGCCCCCCATGCTGCCCCGCCTAGAAATAGGCGCCAAAGGAGAGAAGAAAAGGCTAGAACTTAAGTCGGGCCCTCTCATCAGCCACCCAAGTACGAGGCCGAAGAGAATAATGACTCAGATGAGCAGCAGAGGTCCTTTCACTTGGATGCCGACAATTAAAATCTGTCATTTTCAAGGGAACTAAGAAATGCCCAGGTTCCGAGCCACTATGTGATGCCCAAAATACCAAAGTATGACGAGAGAGGCGACCCAAAGAAACACCTGAGCACTTATAAAACTCATATAAGCCTTATAGACGCCACCCCGGCTGTAAAGTGTAGGGCTTTCTACTTGACACTTAGTGGAGCGACTGAAATCTGTTATAGTCAGCTACCACCTGGAAGCATAAAGAGTTAGCCAGAATTCAAGAACACTTTCCTGGAAAGGTTCGCGGTGAGCAAAGAGGGAGAGGCTCCTATCTAGTGCCTTCAAGACATGAGGCAAGCGCATGAGGAATCCTTAAAAAGCTTTTTATCATGCTTTACTGACGAAATGACATATTGCGTACAAGTCACCGATCGTGAGGCTTTATCAGTCCTAAGAGGATGTCTGAATATGAACACCCTGTTTTGGAGGGACGTGCAAAATCAAGACCTCATCACCAATGACGCCTTATTGGAAATGATGAGGCGAGAGATTATCAATGAGGAATTGATTGAACACCGAAATCGGGCTAGTAGAGGCCTCCCACCTCAACAGAGACAGCGTGCCAGAGGACCGACCTCCCATTTGATGGACTACCAGATGAGCCCACCTGGTAATGGAAATTCAGGGCAAGCACTTGCCACAACCACTTTGAACGCAGTCTCAACTTTGGCATATGAAGATGTCAACCCAACTGCCTCCAACCAACAAGTAGGAACTTCACAACGGGCCCCCCACAGAGGAAGAGTTCAGGGGCGTGGTTTGGGGCCTAGGAATAGACCAAATCAAAACCCCCCAATTATTGTACGTACCACCGCTCCCATGGTCATAACACTTCCGAGTGTCGAGAGTATGCGTACCACAATCAACGGGAACACCCTCAAGATAGGAGGAATGTTTCGTTACAGACAAATAGGCTCCCACCTAGGAATGACCAGCGACCTAGGTGTGAGGAGGCGGCTCCCCGCCAGCAAGATGTATCCCCTATCGAAGGGAACATGACTTAAAGAGGTCCAGGGAAGGACAAAGGCATCGTAGAAACTGCCACGCGCAAAAAGAGATCCCTATCTATGAGATAGATACCATATTTGAAGGCCCATACGTGGGCGGTGAAACTCGGAACGCAAAACGGAACTATGCTCGAGAGGCTAAATGCCTCCCGCTAACCAGTTATATAGTGGACAGCAGCTCACGGAGAAATCAAGTACTGCCCATCGTATTTACCCAAGAAAATTTCGAAGGGGTCCACTATCCCCACTGTGATGCACTTGTGGTAAGGGCCATGGTAACCTGGAATGGGCTCAAGCGAATGTTAGTGGATAATGGCAGCTCTGTTAACATCATGTTTAGGTCCATCTTTAATAAGATAATCCTGGACCACGAGCTGACACCCACCACCACTTCTCTATATGGATTTACCGGAGATAGTATCACTTCGAAAGGTAAAATAATACTAGCGGTAGAGATGGGAGAGTCCCCCCAGACCACAATGAACTTCATGGAATTCCTTATTGTTGACAGTCGGTCAGCTTACCATGGAGTCTTGAGCAGACCAGCCCTGAAAGAGTTAGAAGTCGTTACCTCCATCTACCACTTATACATGAAACTCCCAACTGAGAATGGGGTGATAATAGTGAGAGGTGACCAAAGAGGATCCAGAGAATGCTACTTAAGCTCTATCAGAAAGGTTGAACCCCGAGACGTACATGCCATCCTGACTAATGTGGATATGGCAGACATCCCAAGCAAGGCCCCTCCCGAACGAGAAGATGTTGACATGATCGATACACCTCCCGAGCAGGAAGAACTCTCCATGATCAATGAGATCGATCCCCGTGTGATTAAACATGAACCCCAAAGACCTACCGTTGAGGAGCTCGAAAGCTTCCCAGTCGACTCTTCGGACCCCACGAAGGTGTTGAAAGTAGGCAGAGGCCTGTGCAACGACATGAAAGAGAAATTGAAAAACTTTCCATACAAGAATCTTGACGTCTTTGCTTAGAGGCATGATGACATGGTGGACATAGATCCCAAGGTCAGCTGTCACCACCTAAAAATAGATCCTAAGGTTGCCTCGCACCGACAGAAGAGAAGAGCCCTCAACCCAGAAATGTATGAGGTTTTGAAGGAAGAAGTGCAAAAACTGATCAAGAATGACTTCATCAGAGAGGTCATCTACCCGAAGTGGGTCTCCAACTCGGTGTTAGTTAAGAAGTACAATGGTAATGGTAAATGGAGGGTAAGCATGCCCCAAAGACAGCTTTCCACTTTCGAGAAAGAATCGATCAATTGGTAGACTCCACCGTCGAGCATGAGCTCCTGAGTTTCATGGACGCCTACTCTGGCTATAACCAAATACCCATGTACCCGGCCGACGAGGAAAGCACCTCCTTTATCACTGACAGAGGTGCTACAAGATGATATCCTTTGGGTTGAAAAACGTCGGGACCACATACCAAAGGCTCGTCAACAAAATGTTTGTGGACCTCATCGGCAAGATGAAGGAAGTCTACATAGATGATATGCTCGTGAAAAGCCTGAAGGCGGACGATCATGTGACACACTTGAATGACACTTTTCAAACCCTCAGAAGGTACAGGATGAAGCTTAACTCCCTCAAGTGAGCTTTTGGCGTGGCCTCCAGCAAATTCTTGGGATACATGGTCAATCAAAGAGGAATTGAGGCCAACCCCGAAAAGATCAATGCCCTCTTCGAAATGAGATCACCTCAGAAACCTAAGGAAGTCCAAAGTCTAACTGGACGAGTGGCAGCTCTCAGCCGCTTTGTCTCCAAGGCCACCGAAAAATGCCTCTCATTCTTCAAAGTGTTGAAAGCCGGGAAGAAGTTAGAATGAAATGAGGAGTGTGAAGAGGCCTTCCAGGGCCTGAAAAGGCATCTAGGGCAGGCCCCCTCCTCTCCAAGCCAAAGTCTGATGATATCCTTCAATTATACCCGTCGTCTCCAATGAGGCCATCAGTGCAGTCTTAAACCGAGAAGAAGGAAGCACCCAACTTCCCGTGTATTACACCAGTAAGGCACTATCATCTCCGAAAACTTGCTATCCCGATATGGAGAAATTAGCCTTAGCCTTGATCATAGCTTCTAGGAAGCTGAGGCCCTACTTCCAGGCACACACCATTCACATGTTGACCAACTTTCCATTGAGACAAGTGCTACAAAAGTCAGATGTCTTAGGAAGACTACTGAAATTGGCAGTGGAATTAAGCGAATTTGACATTGTCTTTAAAACAAGGGCAGTCATCAAGGGCTAAACCTTAGCTGATTATGGAATCTGTTGAACCCCCCCACGTGCAACTTGTTCGTTGTCGATTCGACTGGAGACACAAGTTCGGGAGCTAGTGTAGTCCTAGCCAGCCCAGAAGGCCACAAGCTGAACTCAGCCGTGAGATTTGGATTTAAAGCCACCAACAATGCTACTGAGTATGAGGCACTCTTTGTAGGCCTCAGTTAGCCAAAGAAATGCAAGTAAGGAGGATACGTATCAACAATGACTCCCAGCTAGTGGTAAGCCAAGTGAATGGAAATTTTTTAGCTAGGGATAAAACCATGGCCTTCTACTTGAAGATAGTGATGAACATCCTCCCATCATTTGAAAATTTTGAAATAATACAAATCCCTCACATCGAGAACGTACATGTCGATGCACTATCTAAACTTGCTAGCAGCAAGGACTCCGAACTACTTGTAATAGTATCGATTGAGCACCTCCTCATGTCATCTACCGAGGCCCCCGAAGTGATGTGGTTCGAAGGAACCCCCACCTGGATGCAACCTATCATAGCCTACCTAAAGGACTAGGCCCTGCCCAATAACAAGGATGAGGTCTACAACTAAGAAGGAGATCGGCCCATTTCCTCTTCATTGATGATGTACTCTACAAAAGAAGTTTCTCCTCCCCATTTTTTCGCTGCGTGGGAGAAGACGAGGCCATCTACATTCTAAGGGAAATCCACGAAAGTGTTTGTGGTAATCACTCAGGAGGACTAGCCTTGGCACAAAAGATACTGAGGCAAGGCTACAACTGGCCCACCTTGAAAAAGGACGCGCTTCTATTCGTGCGCAAATGTGACAAGTGCCAGCGTTTTCTCCCATTCAGAGGCAACCCTCGCAGGAGTTAACTGCCGTATCTAGCCCATGGCCCTTCTTCAAGTTGGGCGTGGAACTGATAGGTCCCCTATTCAAAGGTAGAGGAGGCGCGAACTTCGCCATTGTGGCCATTGATTACTTCACGAAGTGGGTTGAAGCTGAACCGCTAACAAAAATCACAAAAGCAAACACCTCCAAGTTCTTCTAGAATAACATTATATACCGGTTCGAAATTTCCCACTCAATTGTTTCAGACAATAGGAGACAGTTCGACAATAAGAAGGTCAGGAACCTATGCTAAGAACTCGGAATCAATAAGCATTTCTCAATGCCTCACCATCCTCAAGCCAATGATCAGGTTGAGGCTGTAAACAAGACAATCAAGCATGTCCTCAAAAGGAAAATGGATGCATCAAAGGGAGCCTAGGTTGATGAACTGTCTCAAGTGTTTTGGGCAATCCAAACTACCACCAGAACTCCCATGGGAAACTCCTTTCCTCATGGCTTATGGCATCAAGGCCATGGGCCTTGTCAAGGTCGGCTTACCATTGCCACGTCGCTTATATTTTAGCGAAATAACCAATGACGAGCTACGGAGGTTCGACCTTGACTTCATTGATGAAAGAAAAAATGACTCCTAGCTGAAGCTCGCTACTTACCAAAGGAAAATGACCAAATACTTCAATTCCAAGGTGAAGAAGAGGTCTTTCCGAATCAATGACCTAGTTCTTAGGAGAGTCTTCCGATCTTCCAAAGGACCAGGCGAAGGTACCTTAGGTCCAAACTAGGAAGGCCCCTTCAGAGTCAAAGAAGAACTCCGACCAGGCACCTACAGGATTGAAGACATGGATGGTCGGGCACAGCCTCGTCCATGGAACATTGAGCATCTCAGAATTTACTACCAATGAATGTACTGCGTCGCTGGATGATCTTTCCCAGCTTATGTAACTGATTTTCAGTTTCAATAAAATGTCATTAAAATTTAGAAACAACTCCTAAAACGTAGATGCCTCGAACGAGAGGTCCTGATTCCCAGTTCTGAGGTCACCTCGCCCGAACTCCGAGACTCAATCCACATGCCTCCTTTTGGGAAGACTGAATGCCAAGGAAAGAAACATCCACATGGCTGCAGCATCCACCATATAGAGAAGTGTGGGCGCCTCGGAGGAGAGGTCCTGATTTCCATCTCTAGGATCACCTCGTCTGAACTCCGAAGCTCACTCCACATGCCTTTCTTGGCGAGCCTGAATGCCAAAGGAAGAAGCATCTACATGGCTGCACCATCTACCATGTAGAGAAACGTGGACACCTCAGAGGAGAGGTCCTGATTCCCATCTCTGGGATCACCTCGTCTGACCTTCGAGGCTCACCCCACATGCCTCTCTTTGGCGAGGCCGAACGTTAAAGAAAGAAGCCTTTACATGGATGTACCATCCACCATATAGAGAAACGTGGGCGTCTCGGACGAGAGGTCCTAATTCCCAAGTCTAGGGTCACCTCGCTCGAACTCTGAGGCTCAATCCACATGCCTTCCTTTGGCGAAGCTGAACACGAAGGAGAGAAGCCTCTACATGACTACAGCATCTACCATGTAGAGAAGCGTGGGCACTTCGGAGGAGATGACGAATCCCAACTCCGAGCTTCCTATGTGGTTCTGCATGATTTTGTTCATAGTTTTTCATTCAAGTTCTGAAATCATCAAATTTGCCTAAGTAATGCCGCGTATGTCCTTAAACTCTATTATTTAAATGAGGTCTATTTACTTGGTATTGAAAAATGAACAAAATGTTGCAAAACATGGTATTCATTAATATTGAAAATATTATAAGATGAGGGCTTAAAGCCAGTACATTGATACAAACTAAAAGGGAATCCTATACTAAGCTTCGGATGATGGAGGGAGTGCCTCTGCAGCAGGAGCTTCAGCAGCTTGAGCCTCGAATCCCTCTTCAGTTCTCTTTGTTGCTTCCTCTCCCACTGCTTCATCAGCTGGGGTCTGAGGTACCTCATCCACAAACTCAGACCTAAGTTGGGATAGGTCATAACAAAGATAAAGCTCTTCAGCCCTCTCCATCACCTCAGCGTAGCCGAAGTTCCTCTAATATGCACTGAAGCTCTGGTACTCCTCGATGTTGTGGAAATTGGCAATAAACTCTTTAACTGCCTCTTTTCCCTCCACTTTAGCTACCTCTCGTGCTTTTGCCAATTCATCAACATGGCACTTTATTTGGTGATTCAAGAAGTTATATGCATCCTTGGCCCCAGTAAGCTCCAGGTTTGCTTTCTCCAGGGCCTCAACAGTGACCTTCTGATGAGTATTTGATGTCTCCACCTTCTTGGCAAGGGAGCTCACCTCACACTGAGACTCGTATGTCTCATTCTTCAAGGCCTCTATTTGGGTCAAGTCAAATTCCAACTTGGCAGCATCTTCCACTCTTTGGGCCTTTGTCTCCTCTACCTCGGCCCTTAATCTCTTCAACTCCTCCTCAGTGGAGGCCAGCTTCTTTTCCGAGGCCATTGTCCTCGTTTGGAAGTCTATGAGGACCTCCCAACACTCCAATGAGAGGCCAAACGTCCTTGCACTTTGGCTCACCAGGGCCTTTGAGAGGTCGACAGTATCGCAGGATCAATCCAAAATTTATAAAAATTGGTTGCAGCACCTCAGACCTCAGTTGGAAGAGCCTCCAATAACGCCGGGGCAAGCTCTTCCTCACGCCTTGCCAAGAAGTTGGGGGATTTTCCCTAGATCCTGGCAGGCTTCTGCCTCGCAGCCTCCTCCTCCGCAGCCAACCTTGCTACCTCCTCTGCAGCCTTCTCGGCCTCGACCCACTGAACCATTTCCACCTTCACCGCCTTCATGGTGGAGTCTATTAGCTTCGGTAGTCGAGAGTCCT